TATCTCTGAGACCTGGAACACTGTGGTGTGGGAGGTCTGACTTGCAGGTATAGCTCACAGGCCAGGTATCACTCACAGGTCATTCGTAAAGGGCAACATCACTTTGGATTTGGGAAAGCCTCTTTGGCCTCTCCAACTCTGTGTGATTTCCACTGGGTTTTGAGAGGTGTCTATGAAGGTCAAAAGCTTGACTACGGTGGAGGGGGATCATTCCCCACCACACAAGGGGTCACTAGTGCAGGTGTGAGCATCTGCTTGGTGAGTTGGCACCAGTCTGCAGTGACCTCACTGTCCAGGGTGGCTGTGTGTGCCCGCAGCTGGAGGGTGCCTGCCTTGTGTGAACATGCCAGCACTCCCGAGGGAGATGCCAGGTGGACCCTGGACTCTTTTCAGAGCTGGTCACATCCCCTCAGCAGGTGCATTGGCAACAGAGCAGTGGGTTGAACTCTTCTGGGCTCTGACTTAAAATCAAGTTGTGACAACAAGCGTGACCTCAGACAGTTCTTCTACCTCAGCTTCGATTATTCAACCTCCAGATCCTTACACGTGTGATCAGAGTGGAACACAGTAGGTCATAATCTTGATGCATAAATAACAAGGACAGCACAGAGAAGTATACTCAATCAATTATACTCCAATATAAAATAGCGAGTTTAAAAAATATAAAGTGAGTGCCTCTGGGCATCAAGAATTCATAAATAAGATGAAGAATAATAGAGAGGGGCTCAGACTAGGTGTAAGCGTTATGACACATTTAAGGAGGCTTCCCTGGGCACTGAGCAGGGTAGGGTCAATCAGAGAGGTGCCCCTATCTCTCAGGCTCTGGAAGTGAGTCAACAGAAAACAATATGAAGGACAGATTTGAGTGACTGATGGGGCTGGTTTGGGGGCTTGAGTAGAAGATTGTAAAAACATAAAAAGTTGTGATCTCCATTCTCTACCAAGAAAAGACATTTTCATGAGCCAAGGTGCAGCCCTGAGCAGTAAACTGTGAATATGTGATGAAAGAAGAGACTAAAGATACTGATGATGATGATTCAATATTTATTGCATCATCAGTATTCTCCAGGCACTGTGCTTCATGAACAGTAAGCATCTCATATTGACCCCACAATTTAATGAGGTAGTGTCTATTTTCAGCCCTATTTTACAGAAAGAAAAATTGCTTAAAGAAGTGATAAGGTAATTAAGTAGCATTTCTTGGATTTGAATTAACATTTCAGTTTAGAGCCTGAAGTCTTCATGATCACACAGGAGTCCCAGCCTCATTGGTCCAGTCCACCCTCCAGATTGGCATCATCATGATCTGACCCATCCCCTGCTCCAGCTTTGAAGAGGAAAGCAAATTGTCAAAGTGCAGTATCCTGAGATATGCATCTTACAGAGAGAGGCGCAATCTCACCACGAAAGACTGGGTTCTGGAAGAGGTGGGGGAGGGTTGGCTGTGACTATAACTTATGAGCATATTTCCATAACACCCCAGTCAGCACACAGCAGTGGAATCACCTTCCCAGGCCCTGAATTCAGCCTCACGATGACATGACACCAATTCTCCTTTCCCTAAAGAGGGCTCTGTCAGTGAGTGATGGATGTTCAAATAAGAATTCTGTATAACTTGCTCTTTGGCTTTTCCCTCCAGAAGCATTTCTAGTTCAGTGACTAAAATACAAATCAATCACCGAGAAGAAATACAGTGGAATCCTAAATTTAGGCCTAGTAAACAGAAATACTCTAATGCTATTGAGAAATCTGGTTTCAAGGAAAACACCATTTACCCCAAAGCTCAGTGAGTAACACATAACTTAGATGACTGAAAGGGATGACCATGGTCAGCCATCCCAAATTTAGACTCTGTCCATATTTAGAAGGCAAGGAGTTGTCATAATATTTTTATCGTTACCACTCAGTTTGGAGGAAAAGAGAATTTCTAGCAATTTTAAGATTGTTTGAGGCTGGAGGACCAGCTTAGGCTACTGGGTTGCTGATGGGGATTAACAAAGAGCCAGTCATTTGCAGCCACAGTAATGGACCTAGAGATGGATGTCATGGGTGTCATGCTGAATGAAGTCAAAGAGAGGAGAAATATAGGACATCCCTTATATGCAGAATCCAAAAAAGAAATTATACAACTGAACTTACTTACAAAAGAGAAACAGACAAAGAGACTTAGAGAACGAATTTACGGTTACCAGCAGGGAAGGATGGGAGAAAGGGATAATTAGCGAGCCTGGGATGGACACGTACACACTGCTATAAATGGATAAATGGATAGCCAGCAAGGTCCTACTGTATAGCACAGGGAACTCTGCTCAATATTACATGGCAGCCTGAATGCGAGGGGAGTTTTGGGGAGAATGGATACATGTATAGGTATGGCTGAGTCCCTCTGCTATCCACTTGAAACTATCACAATATTGTTAATGCAGCTATACTCCAAAAGTTTACTGAAACAAACAAGCCTCCCCAAAGAACCAGTTATAAGGTAGCACGGGAGGAGGGATGGCCAGCCTAGAGAGGTGCCCCCAAGAACCACTATGGCTTATTCTCAGGATGACCCTTGCAGATGACCTCTAATGGCCAGATCTCTGCTTACAACCATAGCACACTGGCATTGGGTTGCAAAATACTCACTGAAAAATGCCCCTCCAAATCCTTCCAACAGCCGACTCCTTTTAGACCCTCTGCACCGCCCCACTGAACAGTCAAATTAAACCCACTCTAGATGAGCAGATGCAAACTATTACTCACAGGATGGATAAACAACAAGGTCCTACTGTATAGCACAGGGAACTGTATTCAATATCCTGGGATAAACCATAGTGGAAATGCTTATGAAAGAGATTGTGTGTGTGTGTGTGTGTGTGTGTGTGTATATATATATATATATATGTGTGTATATATATATATATGTATGTATAACTGAATCATTTTGCTTTACAGTGGAAATTAACACTTCAATAAAATTTAAAAAGAAATTAAACCCACTCTTGACTTGAAGGTTACAGGGTGAGTAGCTCACACCAACATGCTTAATTTAGCCAAGCCCCAAACCAACTCTAAACCTGAACTTGGAACAAAATCATCTGTCAGAGCTTTTCTAATTAAATTTGTTGAAGTTAAGGCTTGATGCCAAAATCAGAACATGCTCATAGAAACCCAAATACGGTTGGTGCCAGGTGCTTCTTTCTGTCACCTCCACATCACGTCGACCTGTACAAAGGGGTTTTGTTCAGCTACACGTCATTCTCCAACAAAAGAACGGCAAAGCTCTACGTGTGGGGTCCGCTTACCTTTCAAGGCAAAGATGAATAAGAGGGCTACCTGCACATCCGTCATCCGGTAACTCCTGAGATGGATCGTCTGCTCACAAGCAAGTGGGAAAGAGCTTGGGGTTTCAACCTAGGAACTCAGGTCTCGCGTGAGGTTTGCAGGGTGTTAATCATCTTAAATGGGCAACAGAGTCTTGGCGCCTGCTCTTCTTCGACAACGCCAGGTGCACCTGATGTGAACGAAGCCAGTGAAGCTTGGGGCGGGGGCGTGGCGTCTGACCCGCAGTATTAGTACTGCCTGCAAACCGCTCAGAGTCAAGCCCCACTCAGACTTACAGCAGCAGAAATTCTAGGGATGAAGTTCAGCTCTCTACATTGTAATAAATCCTCCATTGGTCCTAGCATCTGCCCAAGTCCGAGAATTACTGCACTATGTCATGATGCCTTAATTGAAGCTCTAAAGACAACTGAAGGAGAACCGCCTGCTCCGCCCCCCTCTATTTTGAAATCAAAGAAAAGGTGGCTGAAGAAGATTGTGTGTACGTAGGAGAGGTGTATGTGACTGAGTGACACGTTTCATTTTGGCAGTAAAATGCGCTTTTCCCCCTTTGTCAAGATACATAAAAAAAAAAAAGTGAAGCATCTATTTATGACTAAAACCAGAGTTATTTTCTAGTTTAATAATTTTGCTAGAAGGCGCCCCTGGTGGCTCAGTTTGCTAGGCTATCAGTAATGCTGCTTGTATATTTCATGATGTACCTACCGAAATAATGTTTAGGATTCTGTGTTTCCTCAGAAAGAATATAACATATTTTGCTTGTCAGTACTATTAGTCTCATAAATACACTCTGTTAAATCCATGAGAGTTTACACAGTAATCTCCAACCTTACTCAAGTTTTGTTCTGTTAAGAATTTTTGAACTTCAACTGTTTTTTCCAGTTTTCTTTACCTGGACCACATTTCCTTTGGTGATTATAGAGAAGAGTGTTGACACAATAGCCTTTAAACTTCCCCAGGCTTTGGTGGTCCAGTAGCTAATACACTGTACTCCCAATGCAGGGGGCCTGGGTTCAATCCCTGGTCAGGCTAGATCCCACATATTGCAACTGGTGCACCCAAATAAATAAACGAATAAAAAATAAACTTCCCAAGTTTGCTTATTTATGAGCATTTAAGTCAGTGGGTCATGCTCGTAAGTGAACTATATATATATATATATATATATACACACACAACACAATACACGTGTTGATATAGAATCTGACATCCAGTAACAAAAGGTAATACAAACCATCACATTAAAACTGGACTTTATTATATTTGTTTGGAATTTAGTTTGCTTATGGTTTGTAATCTCACATACACACAAAAATATATTATTGACATCAAAGAAGTTGAAACAGATTGTATCCCAACAGACATCTGTCCATTTCAAATACTACAAACAAACATCTTTTACTAGGGAAACAATTCTTTTTGAAAGTTTACTAGAATTAATTTACAGCTTACCAATTACTAAAAAGGTGTGAGTTCCTGCATGGTGTTGGAAACTTAAAAATTCAATTTATACACTACAGACACAAAATTGCATTATTAACTTAATAAGTTAATAAAGGCACACATTTCACCTAAGATAAAAATATTTAATTTATAAATCATTATAGGATATAATAAAAGAAATGAAGTGAGGCCAGAGAAATTGATTTTTGAAGGATTTTGAGACTATAAACTTATATTTTAATATTTTGCTCATATATAGCCAAGAGGAAGAGAGAAAGCCAACCTAGGGTCAGTCCAAAGTTTTGCAGGAGAAGCATCAACCAGGGTCGCTGTGTTTGAACATGAGTCATTTCAGGAAGCTAAAAAAAGAATAAAAAACCAGAATAAGATCCAGATATATTCACTGCTGGGAAAAGTTTGGTGGGAAAACATGAGAGACTCTGTTATTCAGAACTTAATAACCTTTCCAATTCCCCAAACGGTTACAAAATGTTTAATACCCGCTCTCACCAAAATTCTAAAACATCAGATAAATTGAGCCATTTGAATGTAGTGACAAGGATCCTAGCAATGCCAGAAATCTTAAAATGACAGTTATCAACTGAAAGCAAATCTAATCCCTGTTTTTATTTCTGGAAAATCCTTAAATGTGAAATAGATAATAGATGAAAGGAATTCTTTTTGATGGTCCTGTTGGGTTTATGAAATTGCTAAATGCACTGGCTATTACAAAGCATATATTTGTTTCTTTTCAAAATGATGACTGAGATCTTCCTGACCTTTGGAACAATAAAGGCATCATCTCCTAAGGCTATTCTCAGAGAGAGAAAGGCAGCAGTTTTATGTTTGTGAAATGCTGTAATGCCATTTCGAGGGAAACATTCGCTCAACATCTGTGAGTTGTTCCTCAATCTGTTCATCTCAGTTCTTTTGATTCCTCACCCTGAGAGGGTCAGAGTCACTGTATCTCTTTCATGACAATCATTTCCATTGGCGCATAGCCTCAGGTCAACAGAGATCAGACACTGAACTTAACCCTGGCACCACTGACATTCGACACTGGATAATTCTCTGATGTGGGGGTTCTCCTGTGTGTGGGATGTTTAGCAGTGTCCCTGGTTTCTATCCACTAGATGTCAGTTGTCCCTCTGCCCCTAGTCATGACAACCAAGAATGTCTTCAGACCTTGTCAAATGTCTCCTTGGGAGTTCTCTCCTCTGGTTGAGAACTACTGAATTCAAACCTAGCAAAAGAAAGGTCAAACATATAAAATATGCAAGGGCTTTAAATTTATTGTAATGGAGAACAGATTGATGTCTTTTTTCATGCCTGTATGGGAGCATCCTGGATGTTCTGTTTCAGTGTGTTTGAGATGGATATTTCTTTGTTTTAATTGTCAAAATAGATGGAAGGAGGATTAAAATTATTGCAACCTGCTTTCTCACACCCCAGCACAGAGCAGTGGAATAAAAGACAAAGTAGGATCCAAACTGCTATCCTGAATGGATGGATGGATGAATAGACAGATGGATGGATTGCCTTAAATTTGTAATATACATATGTGTCATATTCCTTTTCAGGTTCTTTTCCCTTAAAGTTTACTACAAAATATTAAGTAGGGGTCCATGTACTCTAGGAGAAGGCAATGGCACCCCACTCCAGTACTCTTGCCTGGAAAATCCCGTGGATGGAGGAGGCTGGTGGGCTGCAGTCTATGGGGTCACACAGAGTCAGACACAACTGTGACTTAGCAGCAGCAGTAGCATGTACTCTACAGTAGGTCCTGTGTGTATATCTTAATCCCAACCTCCTAATTCATCCTTCGCCCACACCCTCCCCCTTTGGTAACTGTTTGTTTTCTATGTCTGTGAGACTAGTCTCTTTCTGTTTTGTAAATAAATTCATTTGTATCATTTTCTCTAGATTTCACATATAAGCAACATAGGCTTATACATATAGCAACACAGGCTATTTGTCTTTCTCTGTCTGTCTTATTTCACTTATTATGATAGTCTCTAGGTCCATCCGTGTTGCCGCAAATGGCACTCCTTACTTTTTTTAATTAAAACAATTTGCTCTGTGATAACTTGCCATCCATTCAGGGGTATGTACATTTATAAACCATACTGAAGGCAAATGTTGCAATATCCAGTAACAGATCTTTAATGACACCAATAAGAAGCCATTTTTCAGAATAAAGATGGAAATAGATGAAGAAGTGTGAACTTAGGACGGCCCAGGAGTGTGAACCTTAGGTGTACAAGAAGGAAAGACACCATCTTAGTTTCAGAGGGTGTTTCATAAACCATCCTTTGTGTCAAGTCCTCCCTCATATAAAATTACTACATGGCACATGATAGTAGTATTTATCCACTTGCCTTCCTGGTGTGTGTTACCATTCTCCATGAGCATTCATTTTAAAGCTTCAACTTGAGTAGGGATACAATTATGCAGATGGAATCAAGTTTAAAACATGTATTTACTATCACTTGCTAAAATGTTCAGAAATCCTAATTAGCAGTTGACCATAATAACTACATCTCAGTTAGTTAATAGAACTTGTAGGGGCCATTATCTGTAGGCCAGTTACAGTCAATATGTGGGCTTCAGGCATATCAGGGAATTTTTTTCCTATGCCTGATTGAAATTTTTAAAAAGAACTTCACAATGGTCTGTTAAAGAGTTGCATCTTAAAGATTATTTTCCAGAAAATTACAACTACTTGACTGTCATGTCTTGATATTCACTGATCAGACTCGGGAAACTTGCCAAGCATGGAGGTTAGAAAGGAAGTTACTTTCAGGATTTCCAAACATCTGGCAAAAATCTGAAGAACATTTCTCCTAGTACTATCTCTAGAAGGCAAGGCTGTTTTGCCATCATTTCTCTTTTTTTCTACTTTCTACTTCAATGTTAACACATTCTATTCATCATTTCACCCCTCTAGTCTAAGGGTATAAGTCAAGATCTGTAAAATTGTTCAATAACAGTTTAACTACCCCAGAGGAAAAGGGGACTTTTCTCTTTTGAAACCTAGGGGAAAACGGTAGCATTTAAACTCTTGTTGGGTGTTTTTTAAAAAGAAAAAGCACAGTATGTACTCTCAAAAATGAATTCCTATGGACCTTTATTTCCCTTCAAATTTGCTGACTGAAATGATTAAAAATACGGCTAGATTCAGAGCAAGTGAAATGTTGTAATCAGATGAGGTTTGAGCTTCAGCATTTTTTGTTTGTATCTTTTGGAAAGACTTTCTGTAGAACTTGCTGGTATTCTGGTATCTACCCAAGAGATATTGTGGTTCTTATGTCATCATAATCATCCAAAAGAGTGCCAAGTACTGTCTCAAAAGCAAGCTTAGCTAGGTTTTCTTACCAAACCATGTGGACATGGGAAGTGCAGACAGGCCACGTGTTCTATAGGCTTACAAAGTTAGTCTGTTACAGCTTTGTTCCAGTGCATACTGTCTGCCTTATAAACAGAATCAGTAACAGTCTATCTTTTATGACAAAGGCAGTGTGCTATCTATGTATTCCACTACACATTTTTTATCACATGCAGTGACTAATTGGACTTTTTAGTGTTGGCATTTTTTATTTTTTTCTAGCTAATTAGAAATGTATTGGGCCATAACAGAGGTGAATTTCAGATAGAAAGCTGGGCTTTGCAGGTGTTTGCATATCCTCCACAATAATGAGATGACTTGGCTTCTTGTCCTGGTTCTGACGTCACGTCTATGTACCTTAGGATAAGTCATCCTCCTTCCTGAGCCAGTGTTTCCTCATAACTGAAAGGCGTTCATCATTTCACCTCTTGCAGGATTTTGAGGAGTAAATAGAAAAGGAAAGATATAAGTAAAGGTGTGATTTTTAAAAGGATGTAAATCAAAGTAGATGTCACATAAGACCTTCCTCCAGAGCATCCTGAAGGACCTTGAGGAAAAACAAGCTGCTAGAAGGTACCACTGAATGGATGGCAAGTTATCACAGAGCCAATTATTTTAATTTTTTAAAAGAAAGGAATGCCATTTGCAGCAACATGGATGGACTTAGAAATTATCATATGAAGTAAAGTAATCCTGAGAAACAATCTAAAATAAATGGTGTAAATGAACTTATTTACAAAACAGAAATAGACTCAGACATAGAAAACAAATGTATGGTTACTAAAGGGGAAAGGAAGCAGGGAGATAAATGAGGAGTTTGGGATCGACATATACATACTACGCATATAAAATAGATAATCAACAAGGACCTACTGAATAGTACATGGAACTCTACTTAATATTTTGTAATAACCTGTAAGGGAAAAGATTCTGAAAAAAATAAAAATATGAACATAATTTAAGGTTATCCATCCATCCAGGATAACAGTTTTGGATCCAGCTTTGACTTCTATTTCGCTGCTCCATGCTGGGGTGTGAGATAGCAGGTTGCAATAATCTTAATCCTCCTTCTATCCAGTTTGCTACTTAAAACAAAGAAATATCCATTTCAAGCACATCCAAACAGAACATCCAGGACGCTCCCACACAGGCATGAGAAAATACATCAGCCTGTTTTCCACTGCCATAAATCTAAAGCCCTTGCATGTGTTGTATGTTTGACCTTTCTCTTGCTAGGTACAAGAATCCAGTAGTTCTCAACCAGAGGAGAGAACCCCCAAGGGGACATTTGACAAGGTCTGAAGACATTCTTGGTTGTCATGCCTAGGGGCAGAGGGACAACTGACATCTAGTGGATAGAAACCAGGGATGCTGCTAAACATCTTACAGTACACAGAAGAAGCCCCACAACAGAGAATTATCCAGCCCCAAATGTCAGTGGCGCCTGGGTTGAGTTGGATGTCCCATTCATGTCGACTTGAGCCTGTGCGTCAATAGAAATGACTGTCGTGAAAGAGATATAGTGATTCTGACCTTATCAGGGTGAGGGATTTGAAACAATGTGAGACAACTTATGATGATGAAAATACAACTTATCAAAACTAGTGGTATTCAGTGAACACAGTAAATAGAGGGTAATTGACAGGATTGAATGCATATATTGGGGGAAAATATCTAAAGGCAATAATCTAAGCTCCCAATTTAGGAAACTAGAAGAAAACTAGCAAATTAAATCCCAAATAAGGAAAAGAAAAGAAATAATAAAAACTAGAGCAGAAATCAGTGAAATTGAAAATAGGAAATCAATAGAGAAAAATCAACAAAACCAAAAGTTGATTTTATGAAAAGAACTATAAACTAGAGAAGTCTCTTCCAGGCTAACTAAGAAATAAAGACAGAAGACACAAATTACTAATATCAGAATTGAAAGCGGGGACATCACTAAAAAAAATCCATGGATAATAAAGGAATATT